ATCAAACCAAGCAGATATTTAGCCATTTGGAGCCTGCCTACTTTCAATACCCTGTGAAACTGCACCTATTATCTGCTAGCCATAGAGAAGGTAGACCCAAGGGTTACATAAAGACCCTACTGCCCTTTGCAGTTCTCTGACCCAGAGATGCTCCATCTGAGCTCTCTGTGCTGGACAACTCCTTTAGACATGTGACCCCCCTCTCAGGTCCCCTTCTTGCCCAAGAGTTCTTTTGCCCTCTTCCCCTGCTGGGTGATGGCCTGCACCATCATGTCTGGAAGGCCTCTTTCTGTAAGGGAGCCTCTTGGCATGTAAACCTGTCCAAATGCCCCCCTAAGCAAAGCCGCTTGTATGCTACTGCCATCTTGTGGTCATTTATTTTTCTTCGGTCAGCCCTGAAAACCCTTGAACTCCGAATAGCACCAGGGCAGGCCTGGCTTCCTGCTACTGTCATCCGAGGCCCAGCTCTATCCCCCATCAATGTGCAGCCTCAGTGCTATGGTTTGAACGCTTGTGTGTGTTGAAATCTTAACCCCTGAGGTGAGGGTATCAGGAGGTGGGGCCTTCTGGGAGGTGATTAGGTCATAAGGGTGGAGCCCTCGTGAATGGGATCAGTGCCCTTTTATTAATAAAAGAGACCCCAGGCTGGGCACATTGGCTTATGCCTGTAATCCCAGTGCTTTGGGAGGCCGAGGCAGGCAGATTGTTTGGGCTCAGGACTTTGAGACCAGCCTGGGCAACACAGAAGACCCCATTTATACCAAAAACACAAAAATTATCCAAGCACGGTAGCACATGCCTGTAGTCCCAGCTACTTGGGAGTTTGAGGTGGGAGGACTGCTTGAGCCCCAGAGGCAGAGGTCACAGTGAGCCCTGACTGTGCCACTGCACTCCAGCCTCGGCCACAGAGCATGACCCTGTCTTGAAAACAACACAAAACAAAACCACAAAACACCCAAAATCCAAAGAGACCCCAGAGCTAGTCTCCCTTCCGCTATGTGAGGATGAAGTGAGAATGAGCCATCTATGAAACAGAGAGTAAACCCTCTCCAGACCACAAGTGCGCCGGCACCTAGACTGGATTTCCCAGCCTCCAGAAGTGTGAGAGATGAATATCTGCTGTTTATAAGCCACCCAGTCAGTGGTAATTTGTTATAGCAGCCTGAATGAACTAAGATACTCGGCCAAAGAATAGTAAGTCTCCAAGCCTCGGTCTCCTCACCTACAGAAATGGGGATGACCAGGGCCAGCTTCACAGTGTTAGGTGTGGATTCAATGAGATAAAGTAGAAAAACAGACTGCAACATGGCCTGGTGGAGTGGTTGCTCAGTCCACGCCAAGCTGTTGGATGCGGCTCCCCATCCTGTCTCCACCTTTCGTAAACCCAGCTCGCTTGTTAACAATTTCCACCCACTCTAGGCCTGTTCCTTTCTTTTCTTCCCTTGACTTCTGGAATAATGTCAAATAGTGTTGGTGACAACTGGTGTCCTTGCCTTGTTCCTTATTTCAGTGGGGTTTTTCCCCAGGTTTCACCATGAAGAATGATGTTTAGTTTTGGGGATGGAGAAGGTCTGGGGGTTTTTCTTGTCCATCCCTGCTTCCCAGGGCTGGGATGCCCATTGACAGAAACTCTGGGCCAAGACAGTGCTGCCACTCGCACATCCCTACCTCGAAGGAGCTCCTGCTTCCTCATGAGGCATTCACGCTCCTTGTCACAGATCTCCCGCCTGTTGTCGGCAGTGAGCTTCTTCATGGCCAGCTCCAGGTCCTCCTTCTGCTTGGCTACAAAGTCCCGGTCCTATGGGGAGGGAGGAAGACAAGCCTTTACTCAGAGCTGGCACCTCAATGTCTCTTCCTATTATGGAAGAAAAGCCCACGTGATCAGAGAAGAAAATTCAGAAAATGAAAAAGAAATTGGTGGAGGGGAAATTGAAGAGAGACTTAGAGATACATCAATTTCAACATGTGGGCTTCATCTGGATCCTGGCTTAAAGAACAATTTTATTTTTTTTAAAAGATGACATTCACCAGACCACTGGAAACTGGAATGCTGACAATGTGATGCTGTTCAGCAATTATTGTTGAATTTGCTAGGTGTGTTTATGGTATGGTGGTTATTTTTGTGATGTTTGACAGGTAAAATAATATGATGTCTGAGATTGGATTCAAAATAATACCTTGGGGTCAGGGAGTGAATGAGTGCCCATGAGGTCATATTACTAAGATTAGGAGATAGGTATATGGCAGTACATTATACCATTATACCTATTCCTATGTTTCTATGTTTTGTTTTATCTTGAGAGAGGGTCTCGCTCCGTCACCCAGGCTGGAGTGCAGTCACTTGAGCTTGGCTCACTGCAACCTCAGCCTCCCAGGTTCAAGTGATTCTC